CCCCTTATGCCCGCTTCTTCTCTGGCTCATCCTCCCTACAAGCTCCCCTATTCCAGATCTGGCCAGTGCCCACTGGTGACTCCCAGCCCTCTCCAGTTTTCTGAGCCATGCCCTCATGCCCACCCCGGCCTGCAGCCTCACGTCATGGCCTGGTAGATGGACTCGACACCATAGCGCATGGCAAACTCGTCCACGATCTCCTGGGCTGTCTCATCGTAGTACACCTTCCAGGCATCGTCACCCTTGGCATCTGGAATCTTCACAACCCCGTTGTTCTGCACGTCTGTCACGAAGTGGAATAGGTTCTGCCAAGTGGGAGGGGAGAAATGTTGTCATAAAGAGGGACCGAGGACAAGAAAGGCCCAGAATTCGTGGGGTCTGAGGCAGCTCACATCATCTACCCATCAATTCATTCATTCATTTATTCATGAATCCATCTGTGTTTGCATCCATACATCTACACATCCATTCAATTACCACCATCCCCCAATTCACCTAATCTATACTACCAATAATTCAACCATCCATCATCTACCGGCCCACCCACCCAGTCAACTATCCGAAAATCCATTCATCTGCTCATCCTTCCTTCTAACACATAATCCAACCACACATCCATCCACCACATCAGTTACCCACAATTTAGCCTGTCCATTCTTCAGTTCATCCTTTACCCATGCATTCAATTACCCATCGACCCGTCTACCTATCCATATATCAGCTTCTCCATACACGTAGTATCCATATGCCCACCCATTCGTCCCTCCATCTATGCTAAGATTCACCCATTTGCTCATCTGTCCTTCAATGGCTCAACCACACATTTATCTGTTCCTCATCTGTCCATCATCCACCCATCTATCCCTTCACACACCTACTCATCAACTCATCTATCTATCCCCCCACGGATCCTTTTATCTACTCATCATCCATCCACCCATCCATCCATCTACTGAATCACTCATTAATTCAACAAGTGAGGTCTTGGGGATGCAGTTCTCTCCCGGAGCTCCTAGGCAGCAGAAAGAGACAGACGCACATACAAACACCTGCCCCCAGGTGTTCACGACTGGAGCAGATGGGAGGGCCTAGAGTTGGGCAGTGAAAGTCTGTGTATAAAGTCAAGAAGGGCTTCTCAGAGGAGAGGACTGGAAGCTGGACTTTGATGGATGGGGAGAGGTTTCCCAGACAGGGGGGATAGTTTTAAAAATAGCCACAGGTGTGCAGGAAGGTGTGGACAGTGTGGGTGGAGAGAGGAAGTGGGGCCAGCACAGGTAAGCATGGTACGTGGAGGTGTTATGGGCCACAAGACCACTGTGGGTCTCAAAGACCAGCCCAGCCCTGAGCCTCACCTCATGCAGACAGGTGTACTGGACGTGGTAGGGGGCCACCTTCTCCTCGCCTTTGATCTCCACACTGATGTGCAACCGGATGGCGCCTGACACAGCCGACTTGTCCGTTCGCTTGTCTGCAGTACAGAGGTGACGGCAGCGTGAAAGACAGAACTTGCCGGCATGTCCTGGGGTCTCTAACTCTGTCCCCATGTGTGCACAAGGTGAACATGCTCAGCTGATAGCCACAGGCCGGAGTTTGAGCCCAGCTAGAGTTGCGTCGGAAGAAAGGCCTGGCAATCTACTTGTGAGAAACCACAGCAGAGGAGCACTCTCAGGAACACGGTTCTGCTCTGACGCGCAGGGGGCGTCATGAGTCAGAGTTGACTGGATGGCAAATGTGTGTGTGTGTGTGTGTGTGTGTGTGTGTCTCCCACTCAGCACCCTGAGATCAAGGTCTGGTCTCTTGCTTCAAATCGGCTTCCTAGGTTTGCATAGCATACTCTTTAGATTAGAATTTCTTTCTCCTTTTTAAAAAAAATCATCTTATTGGGGGCTCTTATCACAATCCATACATCTATCCATTGTGTCAAACACATTTGTACGTACGTTGCCATCATCATTTTCAAAACATTTTCTTTCTACTTGAGCCCTTGGTATTGGCTCCTCATTTATTTTTCCTCCCTCCCCCATGAATCCTTGATAATTTATAAATGATTAATTTTTCATGTCTTACACTGACTATGTCTCCTTTCACCCACTTTTCTGTTGTCTGTCCCCCTGGGAGGAGGTTATAGATAGATCATTGTGATCGGTTTCCCCTTTCTCCTCCCACCTTTTCTCTTCCCCTCCTGATATCACTACTCTCATTATTGGTCATGAGGAGTTTATCTGTCCTGGATTCCCTGTGTTTCCAGCTCTTATCTGTACCCATGTAAATGCTCTGGTCTAACCAGATTTGTAAGGTAGAACTGGGGTCAGGATAGTGAGCGGGGGGGAGGAATTCTTAGACCCCATTTCTCCCCAGGCTAGGATCTTAGGCCTTGCTTCCTCTTTCAGATGAAGTCCCTGGATCTGGGTCTCCCTCCTTAGACTGGGAGGGAGTCCTTGGATCCACTTCTCTCCCAGATGGAGTTTCTAGGTCCTGCCTCTCCCATCAGGTTGAATTCCCCAGAATCTCCTCCAAAATTTTAGACAGGTTCCTGGTCAGGCCTCTCGCCTCAAACTGGGCCTCCCAGGGCTTGCTTGTGCCTCCTCCATCGACTGGGATACATAGACTCTCTCCTCCTGCTAACTAGAGGGTTTTGGAATCTTATCACACTGGGTCCTTCCTGGCCCTCTGGTTAGGCTCCCGGGCCCTGCCTCCCCAACCAGATTGGCCGCCTCCCCACCCCCAGCCCCACCTGGCTCCCGGCCCTCTCCCATGCCCCTCCAGAACCCGCCGGCTCACCCAGGTTGTACCACACATCCATCTCGCCGCTGAGGGTCCGCACCTCGATGATGGTCTGCCCCAGGAAGTCATCTGATTCCCTCTTGAATCTCTGCTTCACTCGGGATTTGATGTCATCATCCTCGTCCCAGACACGCACTTTGATGCGGTCCGAGGAGTTGTGACATTCACTGCCAGGGGAAGGGGGAGGGCGGGTCAGCGGGGCGAGGCGCTCCGGGTGGGCTCAGGTCAGGGGAGGGGGTGCCCACTTACAAGTGGAAGTTCTCCTCCCACACCGGGTTCAGGTTCCCGTAGATGGTTTTGGTCCGTTTCTTGGTCTTCCCAACCTGAACGGTGACATAGGGGTCACTGGATCCCGTCTTGTCCTTTGCCTGCAAGCCCTGGGCACAGACGACTGAAAGACAAATACACAAATGGGCACGCGTGGCTGAGGCCCACCTGCCATCGTCTGGGCAGTCACAGTCACACACTGATCCAGGGCACACCTGTGACCCGGCCGGCGGCCCTTGTTCTGGTGGGACCCCGTCACCCCTGGGCTGAGACCTCCCAAATGTGCGCGCCCGCCAGCAGGCCTGACTGAGCTCCAGTCTCTGCACCACCTGCTCTTTGGCGCCCCTGCCCTTGTCACACTTTCCTATTCCCAAACCTAGTCGATTATGACTTCTACTTCAATCCATAGCGACCTAATAGGACAAGATGGACCGATCTCTTCTGGATCGGAGGCTGCAAATAAATCGTCCTGGCACCCGAAACCTTCACCTATCTCCCGCTGCCGAGCTGCCCGGTGCGTTGGATCCACCAAGCTTTTTAGCTGCCGGACGCTTAACCCACCGCACCACCACCCTGACCATGACCCCCTGAAATCCTCATCTTGGAACCTGTCTTCCGGGAAATCGAAATGAGGCTAGCTGTGGAGAAAACACCCGGCGCCCTTCCCCCGAAGGGACCACTCGTAGCTACGCATCGCCCTTCCTAGCACAGGTGCCCCAAGTATGGCCTGTCCTTTGACGCCCCCTGCAGGGGACCTTCTCTCCCTGTGTCAACTCGCCACGCCCCCCGGAGTTCCGGGGCGCTGCAATCTGCAGTCCGGATGCGGGAGCACGGAGCACAACACACGTGGAAGCACGAAGGTCTACCAAGCGAGGGCAGGGATGACGGGGACACACGCAAGCTCCTGCCACCCAGGGCCGGGGCGCCCCCGGCCTCACCGGTGATGCTGATCTTGGCCGACCACTTGGACGTGCCGTCCAGCACGCTCTGCTTGACCGCCTTCATCTGCTGCGTGTGCGCCGTCTTGGTCACGGCGAAGATCTCCTGGATGAGCTCGAAGATCTCGGGCTTGTTGCGCTCCCGGATCTTCATGCGGTCCTTGAGCACCATGATGATGTTCTGCGTGCGGTCCTCCGCCCCGTGCTTGGAGCTCTTCTCCGCCGCCCCTGCGAGACCGCAGCGGGCCGGTCACCGGAGGCTGGCCCCTTGTATAGCGCGCACCTCCCCCCGATAGGTATCCTCTCCCCTCCCCGCCCATTCTGCAACTCCCCTTTCTGGACCCCCGCACCCTAACCTTTTCTATTGAACCCGCCCCTCTCGGATCCCCGCCCCTTGTCCCCTAACTCACGTGCTAATCGTTCTTGGATCTCCCTTCGCCTGAAGCCCCTCCTCCAGAAACCGTCCTTATCTCGGACCCGCTCCCTGCCCCTCCCTTGCTCCCACCCAGCAGAGCCCCCGCCCCGGCCCCTGCGCTGCTCCGCCTCACACAGTACCCAGCCTGAGCCCTAACCCTAAGCTGAGTTCCACCCACCCTCTGTGCCCGCCCCATGTGCCAAATCCCCGTCCCTGTCCCCGCCTCATCCCTGCTGAGCCCCGGCCCCCATCACGATCCCATCCTGCAGAACCCCGCCCCTCTGTCTCCGCCCCTTCTCAGCCCCGCCTTGTCACGGCTTCACTCAGCAGAGCCCCGCCCCGAGCCCCGCCCCCTCGGTGCGCCGCCCCGCCCTCACGCTGCAGGCAGTCGGCGTTGAGCAGGTCCTGGCACTTCTCGTGGCACTTGACGCCGCACTCGGTGCAGCGCATGCCCTGCCGCGCGATGCCCCACAGCAGCCCCTCACACTCGTAGCAGTAGGTGGGGGTGGTGGCCGTCCACACCTCGAAGTTATGCGGTGTCGTGCACGAGATGGGGTAGATTAAGGCTTGCAGGGTCTTCTTGTAAACGTGGTTTTTCTGCGGGAGCGGTTGCCATCATGGGCCTCATGGGAAGGTGGGCACAAAGAAACTCCAGGACCCCATGCGGGCAGCTGCTTTATTCGAGTTCCCAAAGGGAGGCATGCCCACGACCCTCACCTCTCCCCACCGGCTCAGGGGAGACTGAGCCCCTCCCGGGAAACCCTGGGCCCGCCCATCCCACCCGCGGTCTGGGGAGGCACCCACGTACCAGCTCCTCATTGTTCAACGTGCTGGAGGCCAAGGCTGAGGTGATGCCCGCTTTCCTGGACTGGACCAGGGACTGTGGCCAAGCGGGGTCAAGGAGGCCCATGGGACCATCAACCAGGCAGAATCCACGTCACAGATGGGGTGGGTCAGCCACATGTCCAAGGTTGGCCACGAATTAGAAGCAGGTCACGAAAAGCAGCCGGGAGCAACATAGAATTGGGAAAAAGACATGGCCCCGGGGGTTAGAAGGGATCATGGTTGATGGTGGCAGACCCACCCTCCTGACTCACTGCACTCTCCACCCCACGAGGGACTGGATTTGGCACCCCTCTGGACAAAGCCATCCACAGTGGCAGGGGCCAAGCTAGCGCTCTTTCCCACCCATGGACAAGCCCCGCCCCCTACGCCCCAAGGATTTTGGGTAGGTTGGAAGATTCCCAGTGGGGTGGGGTCTAGAAAGGAGACTTAGCGGTCCGTCATGGTCACTCACCATGGCCTGCGTGTCCATGCCGCAATGGGGTAGAAACGAGATTGCATTAGTTCCAGAAAAGACTTTGCCAGCCCACAGCCCCAGGACTGCCATTGGCTGTAACACAGGCAGCACACTGCTCCAGATAAACTTGTCCAGTGCAGCGGGTGGGGGGATAGGCACGTACCAGGTCGCTCACGAGGGGGATGGGCTTCCTCTTGCGGATGTCAGGCATGCTGTCAATGATGATGAGGCCACCACCGGGGCTGCGAGACACACACAGGCCTGTCGAGGTCCCAGGCTCCCGCACCCCATCCCTGTCCTCACACAAACATCATTCAACCTCCCCGGGGCCACCCCTTCCTCATCTGGGAAATGCTGCAGTAACGCACACGGCTGGAGCGTTTGACTTTGCCAACTCGAAAACTAATCTAAGCAATATAGTGACACTTCAGGACAGTGGGCTCAAACATCTCAAAGACGCTGGCGCAGGACTGGGCAAAGTTGTGCTGGGTGCGGCAGAAGGTCACCATGAATCAGATCAGACTTGAGAGCAATGAGGAAATAATATGAAACATCAACAAGGCCTTTCTTGAGGCTCCTCATTGGAGACATATGTGCATACTTAAGTCTGTCCGGGAGGGTGATTTCAAAGCTGGTGTGGACAACCCAAAACCAAACCAGTTGCCATAAAATTAATCCCAACTCGTGGCAACCATGACAACCTGGGTGTCCTAAGGGGCTGACTAAGTGCTCAACTACTAGCCAAAAGGTTAGAGATTTGAGCCTACGCAGACCACAGGCACCTGGTATAGATTACAACCCAATGTAAAGAAGTCCAAAATCCTCACAATTGGACCAATAGGTAACATCTTGATAAATGGAGAAAAGATTGGCGTAGCCAAAGATTTCGTCTTGCTTGGATCCACAATCAATGTTCATGGGAACAGCAGTCAAGAGATCAAAACAACACATGACATTAGGTAAATCTGCTGCACAAGGCCTCTTCAGAGTGTCGAAAAGCCAGGCTGTTACTTTGAGGACTAAGGTGTGCTTGATCCAAGCCATGGTCTTTTCGGTTGCCTCCTATGCCTGTGAAAGATGGCTGTTGAAGATAGGAACTGAAAATACAGGGAATCCAGGACGGATGAGCCCTATAGGACCAGTGGTGTGAGTGGCAAAACAGGGTGGGTAAAGGGAGAATGGGTAGGAAAGAGGGAACCGATTACATGGAACTGTGTGTGACCTCCTCCCTGGGGGACAGACAACCGAAAAGTGGATGAAGGGAGACGTCGGACAGGGCAAGATATGACAAAATACCCATTTATAAACTATCAAGGGCTCATGCAGGAGGGCGGAGCGGAGAGGGAGGGGAAAAATGAGGACCTAATGTCGGGGGTTTAAATGGAGAGAAAATGTTTTGAGAAACGATGTACAAATGCGCTTTACACAATTGATGTGTGTATGGATTGGGATAACAGTTGTATGAGCCCCTAATAAAATGTTAAAAAAAAAAAGAAAGAAAGATGGCTGTTGAATAAGGACCGAGGAAGACCAGGCATTTCAACTATGGTGTTGGTGAGGACTACGGAAAGTACCATGGCCTGCCAGGTGAACACACAGCTCTGCCTGGGAAGAAGTATAGCCAGACGCTCGTTAAAGGCAAAGATGGCGAGGCTTCAGCTCACGGACGCTGACCAGTCCCTGGAAGACATCATGCTTGGTCCGTGAAAGGGGGGAAGGCCCTCAAGGAGATGGATGGACACGGGCTGCAGCCAGGGGCTCAAACGGGAGGGCAATGGTAAGGATGGTATGGCTTTGCTGTAAGTCACTTTTAGAGGCAAACGGGCTTGAATTATGCAAGTGGCTCTGGCCAGGCAGGGACCTCCCTGGACTCACTCCTCATCTGTGAAATGGGCTTGCTGGGAGGCTTAACCCTGTTACTGTCTTCTGTACTTGGATCTGGGAAGTGCCGCATGAGAGTGCCTATAGTACTTGGCCCAAGCCTGATTCATCCCCCTCGTAAATGTGTTCCCACCCCATCCTAGTCTTGTTAGGTCCAGAGGGCCTACTGGCCTGAGCTTCATCTCCAAAACCTCTTCTCAAGCCCGTTACTTACCCGCCTTTGAACCAGAGGGATTTCGACAGCTCTCCTTCTCCCCGGGCCTGCAGAACGGACAGACAGACATGGCTAGTGTAATTGTCCCGACCCCTTCCCAGGGCAGGGCAGCCTCCACGCCCACTTCTGTGCTTCTCTGGACTGGGGGTCAGAGGCCTGAGCCCTAGTCCTGCCTGTGTGTCCTTCAAGAGCTCCCTGGCTAATTCTGGGCTTCAGTTCGTTCATCTCTAAAACAGGGGTGGGGCCCTCACAACAGCGGCCCCAGTCTCATTGTTCAATCCTGGAAATGCACTAGTATCATCTCCAACCAACAGCATCATGCTGCGTGTGTAACCCCAGGATCTGCAGGGGCTGCACTGGGCAGAGTCGGAGCAGGCCCTGGGCTCCCTGCAGCTTACTCTCTGGATTGACGCTTCCCTGGACCTTTGCTGGAGCCGGCTCACCTGCTTTGGTGTCCTCCCTGCCCCCTGTGCCCACCAGGCTCTGCTCATTGCCCAGACCTCAGCTGAGACACAACTGATCATTGGGGTGGGGCCACGACCAAGGTGTTAGCAGATGGGGCCTGGCCAACCTGGGGAATGATGTGGGGGACCAGCCTGTGTGTGGGCAGAGTCGGGCCTGGCCAGGCTGGCCTTAGATGGAGCTGATGTGGGATGTGGCCAAACTGAATGGATGTGGGGCTTGGGCTGGTTCTAGAGATGTGGGGCGGGGCTCGGGGAGTGGGGCGGGACGCTCACTCACCTCCTGTAGTTGCATCCGCACCTTGTTGAAGGCTCGAAGCCAGTTGGACTTGGCCCTGGACATGGAGTCCTGCCCCTCCTCATCCTGTGGCCTAAAACTAAAGCTGAGGCTGTGAGGCTCTCGAGCAGTGGTTCTCAACCACCCGAACGCTGCAACCCTTCAGTACATACAGTCCCTCATGGGGTGGGGACTCCCCAACCCTAACATCATTTTCATTGCTACTTCATCCCTGTCATTTTGCTACTGTGATGAATCGGGCGACCCCTGTGAAAGGGTCGTTTGAGCCCCAAAGGGGTTGCGACCCACAGATTGAGAACGGCTGCTCTAGAGGGTCTCTGATCATCCCTCTGAGGGGCACTAGCCCTCCTAGTGCTCCCTCCCACGTGTGATCCCTCAGACTGGCCCCTCCCTCCAGCACCTCTTTGGCACCTTTCCTCGCTTCCTTCCAATCCTTTCTCACCTCTGTGACCTCTCCAACCCTGGTAGACCCTCCTTACTCCCAAGATCCCTTCCCCGGTCCCATGTGACCCCTACAGTTCCTTCGGCCTCCTGAATCCAGCCTGCACCCTGTTTCTTCCAATCCCTTCCATAAACCCCGGACCACCTCTGCCCCTTCCCAGGTCTATTCTGACCCCATCAGGACCCCTGTGTCCCCAGTCTCCGCCCCTCACCTCTCCTCTGCTTTGTGGGGCTCAGGCTCAGGGATCCCTACATCTGGAGGCCCCTCCTCAGGCACCACGGGCTCTGGGACTGCCTTGGCCCCTCCAGAGGTGTCGGTCGGCGCGGCTGCAGCCTTGTCCTTCTCAGGGGTGGCCGGCGGCGGGAGGCTGATGCGCTTGAAGTCCTTGGACTCAGTCACAGCCGGCTCCTCCCGTTCCGAGTAGCCGCCCCGAGCCAGCGGCTCAATATCCTCGGGCACCTCCTCCTCCTCCTCCAGCTCCTCCTCCTCCAACTCTTCCAGTTCTTCCTCCTCCAGGAAGTCCTCCAGATCATCCTCCAAGTCCTCCTCCAGCTCCTCCTCGTCCTGGTCCCAGCGCGGGGAGTCCTTGTGGTAGCTCACCGAGCTGTGGCACGAGTGGTAGGAGTCCCGGTCACGCTCGTCCTCCAGCTCGGAGCCCTGCAGGCTCTGGTCCTCCGGGTCAAAGTCCTCGCTCAGCTGTGAGCTGCCCTGGCTCAGCTCCCCGGACGAGGCGTAGCGGCTGCTGCCCGTGGGGCTGTGGGGACAGCAGGGTTTGTCACTCGGGAGCACCTACTGTGGGCCAGCTCCCTGAGTGCCACCAGGGCTTTGCACCTGGCTGAGTGGGCCAGCGGAGCCCTGCTGGGTTGCTAACCTTAAAGCCAGCAGTTGGAAAACCCCAGCCCATCCGAGGGAGAAAGCTTGTCTTGGCTTATGGCCCCCTCCCAGGGGGCCGGACAGCAGAAATGTGGGTGAAAGGAGACAGTGGTCGGTGTAAGACATTAAAAAAAAAAAGAAGAAGGATTTATAAATTATCAAGGGGACATGGGGGTGGGAGGGGGAAAATGAAGAGCTGATGCCCTGGGCTCAAGTAAAAGAAAATGATTTGAAAAAGATAATAACCTACGTACAGATGTGTCTGACACAATGGACGCATGTGTGGATTGTGATAACTGTAAGAGCCCTCAATAAAAAAAATAAACAGTAAAATAAAATAAAATAAAAAAGTCTTGGAAACTCACAGGGACAGTTCTACCCTGCCCTACAAGGGTCGCCAGGGGTCAGCAGGGACTTGGCGACAGTGAACGAGCAGTTGGACGAGGCAGGAGCCCCGGTGGCAGAGTGGTTATGTGTCGGGCTGCTTACCACAAGGCCAGCAGTTCAGAACTTCCAGCCGCTGTGAGAGAAAGACCAGGCTTTCTACTCCGGTAGAGAGTTACAGTTTCAGAAGCTCATAGGCTGGCTGTGAGTCTGGTGTTTGGGGAGGTTGGACGAACCAACGTGTCAGTGGTTCCAACCCACCCTATGGAGTCGGTAGCGCACGAGGTCGCCACGAGTCAGAAGTGGTTTCTCAGGTGGCTCTATGTCAGACCTTGCCCGGGGACACACAGCCTTGAGCAGAAGAGACAAAACTCCCTACCTTCATGGAGTGTACAGTCTGGAGGAGAGACTCTCTACCACCACCACCACCATCTCCAGCTGTCTACAATGAAACCCACAAGCTCATGAACTCATTGCCACGGGCTGGATGCCCATGCTGAGCTTTGCCGCTGCATCTTAAACTGAGATGTGGCCAGGGGACTGCCCCATCTCCTGCGTTCTCCAGGGTGAGACACCCAGGGTCTCAGCAGAGTCCTGTCCCCACTCAGCACCAGGGGTCCACTTGCTGCAGTCCACAGGGTTGGTGCTCGACGGTGGGTTGAACCCACCCATCAGCACCAGAGGAGAACACTCTGGTGATCTACTTCCATTAGGATGATCGAAAACCAAACACTGGGATTGAGTTGATTCTGACTCATAGGACAGGGCAGAACTGCTCCTTTGGATTTTCAAGGCTGCGACGCTTTCCAAGAGAAGAAAGCCTCCTCTTTCTCCTACGGAGTGGCTGGTGGGTTTGAACTGCTGACCTTATGGTTAGTAGCTCAATGTGTAACCAGGGCTCTTTTCCTTTAAGACCACAGCCAAGAAAATCCTGTGGAGTAGTTCTCTGTAGCGCAAGGGGTTGCCGTGAATTAGAACAGGCTCAATGACAGCGAACCACAACTCCCTCCTCGCTTCTAAAACTCCACCTGGAAAGTCTCTCCTCACCCCTTCGTGGTCTTACCCGCGGCTTCAGGGGTGGGAACTCCTCCTTCTCACTTCCCCATTTTTTCTCCCGGAAATGCCCACGACAGACAGGCTCCCCCAGGGTCAGATGGACCCGCCCAGAGCTTCTTGGTACATTTCCTCCCTGTGAGCCTCAGTTTCCCTATCTGTACATGGGCAGCATCCACTCTGTGCTGCCTGGTCTCACGGGCGTTTGCGGAGATGGTGGGGAGCCTTCCCTGTCCAGACACCCACAGGAGAAAACCCTAACCCAAAGTAAACTCACTGCCATCCCCAAGAACGGCCCCTGTGGGTTCCGAGGGTGTAAACCCTGACGGGAGTGGAAAGCCTTATCTACGGGAGTGGAAAGCCTTATCTTTCTCCCGCCACAGACTAAAGAGGTGGAAAGTGGACTCCCTCCCCCACTGCCGCCCCTAAAGGACTATGTTTCCCCCCTTCTCTATTCTGCTTTTTTCCCTCAAAGAAGACGATCTCTTCTAAAAGAGTTAATAACATTCTGTTTCATTTCTTCGGAGTCCTCCAGCCATTTCCTGTGGTTGAAACTTTGTTCCAATAATAGCTGAAGTCTGAGCCAGTGTCGGGTGGAAATTAATGATGCTTTAAACATTGTATCAGCTGCTGCTGGAGATGGTACTGAAAAGCAAGGCGGGGTTCTTGCTATCTTTACAGAGCTGCCCCACAGAGCCTCCTGAGAAGATGGAAATCTTTTGCCACCAGCCCCGGGTGGGGCGTCTACACAGTGCTTGAAATAGGTCTAGGATGACTGCGAAAGTGAGTTTTTATTTGTTTTTCATTAAATTTAACTTGAAGATGCCAAAGGTGGCTTTCCCCACTGCTGTCAAGCTGATTCCAACTCACAATGACCCTATGGCAGAGAGTAAAAGTGCCCTATAGATTTTCCCAGGTAGTACATCTTTACGAGAGCAGCCAGCCTCTTTTTTCTACCAATGAATAGCTGGTGGATTTGAACAGCTGACCTTGGGCTCCTCCAAATGCAGATAGCAGCTACGGAACTGGACAGCCCAGTGCTAAGAGCTGTTTCCCTTGATGGCATGCAGATGAGCCACTGCTCATTTGTTTTCTTATTGCACTTTGTTGTTAGTTGCCACCAAGTCGACTCCAACCTATGACAACCTATGTGTGCAGGGAGCGAGGCTCCATACAGGAAGTAAGCCTGCCAGGCTTTTCTTCCGCAGCACATTGTGGGGGTGGACGGACAAGGTGTTGCCGAGTAGTCAAATGCAAACCCCTGGAGAGGGAAAATTACTCCAAGGATTCTTCAGCTTGCCTGTGTAATTAACATCCCCAGCGAGACTCTGTGACTTGGTGTAACTGGGCATTGTCCCTAATTGTTGGAACATGGAGAGCGTGTTCCCTCAGGGTGGGGTGGAGGGACCCGCCACCGGACCTGCCACCCCGTGGCCTCGTCTGCACGTGAAATTGGACATGGAATACGGAAGACCTAAGAAGAATGGATGCCTTTGAATTGTGGTGCTGGGGAAGAAGTTTGGAAGTCCCACGGACTGGAAAAGGGACAGACTGTTGGAAGGAGCTTCTTAGAGGCAAGGATGGGGAGACTTTGCCTTCTATACTTGGGACACATTGTCAGGAGAGACCAGTCCCTGGAGAAGGACATCATGCTTGGCAAAGTACAGGGGCACGAAGGACAGGAAGAAGGCCCTGGACGAGATGGATGGACACAGTGAACTTGGAGCAGGGACGCAAGTTACCAACTGCCCAGACACTCGCTACTCTGGGTGTGGGCCAGCTGCCCAAGCACAGGGCCAAATTCTGCCTTTATGAAAATAGTGATACTTTGTTCATCAAAGACTTGAACTTTCCTTATTGGATATAATTCACTTCCATGAACATCTATCCTTTGAAGGGTTGGTTGTTTTTCGGAGGTGGGGGACATGATTTTTTTTTTTTTAACCCATCATGGATTTCTTTTGCATTTTTTTTTAAACATTGCGTTAACTGTTTTGAAGAGTATTGCCTTTAATAACAGTGCTTTAGTGCTCCCTTGAAATTTGGTCCTTGGGCCACTATCAGTTGGAATCAACTCAATGGCAGTGAGTTGGATTTGGGGTTTTAAATTTTGCAACTGGGACCACGGCTTCACTTGCCTCAGCCTAGTGCTGAGCCTGAGGTACGGGAGAAATCCGATAGGTTCTCACAGTTACCAGAGGCCCTGGGGTTATCTGAATGGGGCTTAACATCTTAAAGTGATTTTGGGGGGCTGTGTTAGTTACATAATTTCATGTCAACTTGAAGTGGAGGGGTGGAGTCTAGCCTGTCAATCAGGTCACAGCCTGATGGTGCCTCCTTGTGGGCATGACCTCCTTATAAGACGGGTCCTGGGAACTTCATCCCCTCTCTCTGCCTCACTTCCCTGCTGTCTCGGAGAGCTGCCAGAGACACTGCCATTGGATCCACCCACCAGCCTGAAATCTCCCTGAATTCTGCATCAGTGCATGTGGCTGTGTGAGTCTGAAGAGTGATTTATGGCTTAGTATCGGACTTATGGACTAGTGTCAGACTTATGGATTTGTTCTGGGGTGGGCTGGGATGTTTGCTTGATATATAATCACCTCTTGATTCAAAACTCTCTTACATATATATGAGTGTCACTGAATGTATTTCTCTAGTCAACTTGGCCTAACACAGGGGCATTGGCTGCTAACTACCAGGTCAGCGGTTTGAAACCACCAGCCACCCCAAAGGAGAAAGACAGAGCTTTCTACTCCATAAGAGTTAGTCTTGGAAGCTTACAGAGGCAGTTCTACCCTGTCCTGTAGGGTTGATATGAGTTGACATTGACTCAAGCAGTGACTTTCTTTTTGTGTGTGGCTATTAATAGATGTAAGGAGCTTCTATTACATATTGGGCTGCTAACCATGAGGTCGCCAGTTCAAATCCACCAGCTGCTCCTTGGGAGATAGGATGAGGCTTTCTATTCCCATAAGGACTTACAGCCTCAGAGATTGATAGGGGCAGTGCGACTCTGTCTATAGCGTGGCTATGGGTCAGAAATGACTCAATGGCAATGAATTGCTTGTTTAAGAAGTATAGGCTCAATACCAAGGGAGCGTATATATTTTTGAATATATTAATAGAAGTATAGGTCATACACTAAGAAAGTACAATTCGCCATATTCATAGAATATATGTTCGACTCAGGAGAATGCATTTTTGTGCCATTTTAAAGGAATCCTGGCGGTGTTATCTGGTAGAATTGGAGCACTAACCAACAGGCACAGAGTTCAAACCCAGGCGCTGTTCCTGGGGAGAACACTGGGGTTGTCTGCTTCGGTAAAGACATACAGTCTGCAAACTCTTGAGTCGGAAGGAACTCGAAGGTGGTGGGCTTGGGTTTAAGTATTCAACAGGAGCCCACGGACCCTCACAGGTGACTTTCCGCCCTGCTCCCCTTTAATGGAGGACGTGTCTTCTTGGGGAGCCACCTGGGAGGAAGGGCCACTACCAAGCATTCTCCCACCTCACAGCCTGACTGCCAGCAGATTCACCATAATGACGGTCACGTTTCCTAATGATGTTTTGCCAGTGGTGTGACCGCAAGTAACGTACAGTGAACCCTCGCCACTTCGCGCTTCGACTTCCGCGGCTTCACTC